CAAATGATTTCACTCATATGTGGAGTATAAGAAAAAAGGAAAACTGAAGGAACAAAACAGCAGCAGAATCACAGAACCCAAGAATGGACTAAGAGTTACCAAAGGGAAAGGGACTGGGGAGGATGGGTGGGAAGGGAGGGATAAGGGTGGGGAAAAAGAAAGGGGGCATTATGATTAGCATGTATAGTGTGTGTGTGGGCACGGGGAGGGCTGTGCAACACAGAGAAGACAAGTAGCGATTTTACAGCATCTTACTACACTGATGGACAGTGACTGTGAAGGCGCATGTGGGGGGGACTTGGTAAAGGGGGGAGCCTAGTAAACATAGTATCTTTCATGTAATTGTAGATTAATGATACCAAAAGAAAAAAGAAAAAAAAAGAAAGAAAATAAAGAAGGAGAGAGAGGCTGCAAGCAGAGAGGAAGGAGCCTGAGGCATGGAGCTCTTACGCTTCCACTCGTCCACTGTAAATTTCTCATGTTCTAAGGAATCATCAAATGGCTGCTGAGCCTCCGTCTCCTCCTCCGGGTCCCGGAAGGGTTCAAAGAAGGGGTGGGTGAGGGCCTGCGAGGCTGTCAGGCGCTTGTCCACATCCAGCTCCAGCATCTTCTCTAGCAGATCTATGGCTGTGGTAACAGAACAGGAGCCTCATACCCCAGGCCCAGGAGAGCAGACCTGGTGGGACAGAATGCAGAGGCCCTGCAGGGACAGGCCCCAGGACTCACCCTGGGAGCTGGCTTGTGGGAAGAGCTGAGAGAAATCCTTCTTAGGGCTCTGTGGCAGGGCCTGGATATAGGATTTGGCCTGGAAGACAGAAATGCACTGAGTAATAACAACTGTCTGCTGCCCAGAGCTCAGGCCTTGGGTTACAGAGCAAGGACTTCAGAAAAGTCCCCGAGCAGGGCTGAAGGCTCAGGTCAGAGTCCAGAGTGGGTTGAAAGCAAGAGCACCTGCCAGAGCTTAGGGAAGCAACTTCCTCCCCAAAAGAGGTGAGCCGCTCAACCCCTGGCTGGCTAAGCACATGGCCTAGGCCAGCCTAGGCCCATTGCCACTCACCGCTTTGTCCTTCAACTTCTGCACAAACTCTGCACCCGGCACCCCAGTCACCTTCAGGATCTGGGTCAGCTGGTCGAGGTCTTGGTAGTGGGTTAAGGCTAAGCCTCGCTCTCTACTGGTGGGTCTGAAGCTATCCTTCCCGCCTCCCTCCGTCATTCCCACCCAGGCACCTTGGTGACCAGCCAGGCACCTCGCTCTTCCTGTTTTCAGAGAGGATGTTCATCCCTCAGGACTCAGGTCTCTGGGAGGATTCCCATCCACCAGGCTGGGTTGAAGGTCCCTCCCCACAAATGTTCCTGAGTGTGCTACCTTCCCAGCCTCCTCCCACTCAGCCACCTTCATCCATTTCTTCAGCACTTTCCCTCACCCTCACACTCTGCGATCAGCGCGACTCTGGTGGGCCACAGCCCGGCACACACAGGTGCTTGGTCACTGCAGTATTTCCTACATGGTAGTGGAATGACATGTGACTAGTTTTTGCCATTCTGCTTACTTGCACTTTAAAATTGTTCTGCAGTGAGTATATATCACATTTGCAATAAGAAAAGAGAATGATTTAAGTAATAAACATGTCTGTTGAAGGAATGAATCCCTGGACGGAGTTTGGCTTTTCCTGCAAAGGATACAATCTTTCCCTTTGAACAGAGTTTTTCCTGTCAGCATCTCTGCCATGATACAGCCCACAGACCAGATGTCCACTGCAGAGGAGGGCAGGGAAGTGTCGCCTTGACTGGCTGACTGGGACCCGGCAGTCAGTCAACCCAGAGGAACCCAGATGGCCTTGGGGAAGCTGCCAGAGAAGACCCCCAGCCCCCAGCTCTGTGCCCCTCCCCTGGGGCAGCTGACCACTGACCAGTCTGGTTATAGTGCATCCAGCTGAGGATCACCTCGGGGGCCCGGTACCAGCGGGTCACCACATAGCCTGTCATCTCTGCGTCTGCAGGCCTTGCCAGCCCAAAATCCAAGATCTACGACTCCGGGGATATAGGGAGAAGCAGCTTGCTGAGAAAAGGAGCGTCCCAGAGCAGCTTCTGGGGCTCCCACAGGAGAGGGGCCCATCCCTACCCCAGGCTGACCCTCCTTGGGCCCACTCACCTTCAGCTCACAGTCCTCGTTCACAGCAAGGTTGCCCGGCTTCAGGTCCTAGATGAGAGGAGTGAGTGAGCACTGGGCTGAGAGACAGAGACGGGAGCTTGGTCTGGCCTGGCCACCACCCCGCATAAGGCCTCGGCCAGGCCCCTGGCCCTCTCTGGGCATCGGTCTGCTCGTGTAAAATGAGGGTTGGTCTAGGTGTCCTCTAGGGCCCATCCAGCTCTAAAATGCTCCTGATTCTTAGAGCCAGAAATGCCCAGCTCAGGGCTTGCTTTGTTTGCATGAACATTTCCCAGAAAGTTCCCCATAACACAGCAATTCCTGGGCGAAGGCTGGGTCTGAAAAATCCACATTCCATGCACCTGAGGACTGTCCCCTCTCTCTATCTTACCCTGTCCGGGGACGGGAGGGGCATCTGAGGACCACAGCAGAGAAAGCACTCACCCTGTGGATGACGCCAGCTGAGTGGATGTACTGTTGAGGAGAAAGAAAGAGAGGGGCTAAGGCCAGCGCCCAGCTTCCACAGCAGGCTGCTCTCTCAGATCACCCTCTGCACCGTCAGTGTGCTCTCCTGGCCTCCCCCAAGGCTCAGGGCTCAACTCTGCGATGCCTCCCTCTGCCATCTTCCACGCCCTTACCCACCTTAAGACCCTTGAGCATCTGATACACCAGGTACTGGATCTTGTCCTCGCTGAACTCCATCCCCATGATCTTCTGCAGGTCCGTCTGCATGAAGGGCATTACCAGGTAGCTGCAAGGCACAAGGGCTTCTAGAACAGTCCCCAGCCCCACCCAACCCCATGTCTGAGCTCCAAGGAGGGGCAAGGGGGCTGGGCAGAACAGGAACCTTAGCAATGACCTCCACCCGCAAGAAGTACCAGCCCCACCACAGCCAGCCAGACCTCCGCACGGGCCTCCTGGCTCCTGGCTCCCGGCCTGGCCACAGCAGCTGCCCAGCTGGCAGAGCTCAGGGTAAGCACAGCTGGAGCATGCTCAGGAAAACCAAAGAAGCTGTGTTCCTTCTTCAAAGGTGTCCTCTCCCTGCCATCCTCCATGCCCCACAGAAAGCCACAGCTGCCAGTATTTCCTGCTGCTTCTGTCCAAATATTTTCTCCACAAGAGGCTCACAGCCAGCTAAGATGGCTCTACAAGCAAGCAAAAATGTCTTGGCTTCCAAGAAGGAAACAATAAAACAATTTCCAGGAGACAGCTGAGCCCCTGCACCCTCTCAGGGGTTGCAAAAGAGGTCAGGGTCAAGAAAATGTAACTGTTACTCAAAGAAGTAACAGCAAAGTCCAGGACAAAGAAGATTTAAAAAGAATACTAGAAAAGGAAGGAAGGGAAGAAATAAACGATTCAGTGGGGACCATCTCCACCAGCCTGTGACTTTGAAGCCTTCCTCTACCTGACCACCCCTGCCCCCACACAGGGACCCTGCTCCAGGCACAGTCCCCTCCCTGCCTTTTCCTCCACTTCCACATGGACTCTGGTTCTTTCTTCTCTTCTAACAAACCCAAAGCCTCACTGTGCTAGAACCACCTTCCCTTGACCTTGTTACTTCATATAAGCACCCCTTCTCCTTCTTTCTCTTCCAATCAAACTTTTAGAAAAAGTGGTCCACTGCCTGAACATCCGGCCCCCTGACAACCTGGTGTCTACTTCCATGCCCCACCCTGCTCCCCTCTACCCCCACCCTGGCCAAACTGCTTCCTCATGGATTGATGTCAGTCAGCAGCACTATATCACATCCACACTAAGCCTGTTCATGGGCCTCAGCCGTCACCCACGGGTGAAAATTCTGGCCCAAATCCACAGCCCTAGCCCAGACCTTCCTGAGCAACAGATGTATTTGCAACTGCTGATTAAACACTTGAATGTTCGCAGGCTCTTCAGAAGTGAAGTGTCCAAAACAGAGTTCATCAAGATCTGTTTTTTCTCCATTTTGTAGTCCAAGCAGGGGCCTGGTATTCCTGACCCACATCACCTCTCCCAGCCATTGCAAGCTACTGGATGCAACGTTCTGATGGGTCTCAAGCCTGCGCTCAGCATGCCATCACCTCTACTTTATTTAGATCAAAGTCTGCATCCGGACCACCACCCTCCAGGCATTCCTGCACAGAGTCGCTCCCGGCTCCTTTCTCACTGCCGCCACAGTAAACCTCCAAATCCAATCAGACCACATCACCTCCAACGCTCCTCAAACCTCCATGGACTTGAGGTTACCTGTGAGATCAAGTCCAGACTCTCCCCTTGACCAAAGCAGCTGCCAGCCTTCACTAGCCACAGCCCAAACAGGGCAATCTCTTCCCTGCACTATGACCTTTGCCCAGGCAGTTCCTTCTACCTCAGGCGAACTGCTGCTCATCCATCAGGGTGGAGTTTCAATGCTCTCTCCTCTGTGAAGCCCCCCGAGGCAGCATGCAGTCCCAGCATCCACTGTACCTAGAACGCTGACCACACTACTGGCCGTTTTCATTTAGAAACTGCGCCCGCACCCTGCCTGAAGGGTTGGTCCACTTTAACGTCCCAGTGCTAAACCCAGCATGTGGCATTATAGGAAAGAATCCACTCAAAGTCACTGTGTTAAATTTAAAACAAAAGTGTCCTGACGAAAAGAACTTCAAGCTGCATTTGATATAGGACTGAAAAAAAAAATCCACCTTCCCAAAGGTTCCTGAATTTTTGGCCAGACACTGCACTAACAAAGCCACACTATTAGCAACTGAATTTTCTGGTTCTGGGTGATTTTCGAACACCTCCATCAGCCAGAGGCAGCCAAGGCTTCCTGATCCTCACTTCAGGCTAGGAAGAGCCCCAAGGTCCAGACCACCGCTGGGGCCCAGGGAATGGCAAGGCGAGTCAGGGCAAACCCTTTGAGGACTGACAATGATCCTGAGGGTGTTAAAGCTGCATAACAAGTGAAGCAAGTGGGCAGGCAGCTCTGTCAGGCAAGCACCCCTCAAAGCTCCTCCACCATTCCTGCCTGCCTTTTTCTCCACCTTTGGCTGCAAAATCTCTCCAGAAAGAGTCACACCTCGACAGCCCAAAGGCACAAGGACAACCAGGGCAGGAACCCTCCCAACCTAGGTGAGAGAAGCTAGACCCTCGCCAAGTTGCTCCAAGGTGACGAGGAGGCATGCAAATGCCCTGGAACCCAGTGCAGCCGACTCACAAGTCATGGAAGCTGCGCAGGGAGGAGGCTGAGGTGAAGACATCCAGGAGCCCGATAACCTGGGGAGAAGGTTGCCAGTGAGGACTGGGCCAATGCCATGCTCTTCCACCCTCCCAGGAGACCCAGCTGGCACAGGACCACCCTCCTTTCCTAATGTACCATCCCCAGCAGCAGGCAGCTTCCCAGGCTTCCTGGAGGCAGTAAGGAGCAGAGGTGGAAAAGGAACTCCCTTAATTGGAAGGGAGCTTGCTGTGCACAGTGATGGAGAGTCAGGCTGGGGAGAAGGGGAATTGGACATTCCTGTACTCACTGCTCCCAAGTCTATTGTTCAGGGCAAGCAGCACAAACCTGCTTTCAACTCAAGCAGAGAACCACCAGTGGTGAAGGGATTCAAGGAGGGAACAGGAAGCGGGCCTTCCAGCAGGCTCCCTGCCCCCAGACCTCAGGTCTCCCACCACATCCAGGCTTGGCCACCAAAGGGCTGGCTCAGAGCCAGGTGCAAGATCACCCCTGGCTGTAGACCACGGTGAGAGGTCTGCTGAAGAGGAACAGGGCTTAAAATGTGCACAACATTGTGCAGTCATTTTAAACGTTTGCCTTCCAATCTAGGTATCCCAGAGCAAAGGCTGGTCATCAAGCCCACACTGGGTCACTGGTTTTCCTAGCTGTATATATCAGACAGGACAGGCTAATATTTAGTCCCTTAGCCTGGAGCCAGCCTGCCTAGGTTCAAATCCCAGTTCTGCCACCGATCAAACATATACCCTGTGAGTCTTTCTGTGCCCCATTTTCCCCATCTGTGCATGGGAGTAACAGTACTTACGTGATATTGTGAGGATTAAACAAATTATGCATGGAAGTAACAGTACTTATGTGATATTGTGAGGATTAAACAAATTATGCAAAGCTCTTAGACCCTAGCACATAATAAGTGTTCAGTAAGTATCTATAGTTGTGGTTATTACTCTCAGGGTCACATGTGGAACAACATGTGGAACTAGGATTACAGGCACCAGCTCTTAGATCTAGGCAAATCACAAAGTTCCTCAGTGCCCATTTCCTTGTAACACTGAGACAGGAATTTGCACCTCGCAGAACTCATTCTGCTCCACTGCCAAAAATACCTGCACACCCTTCCTGGGAAGTAGGCAAGGCAGGTCCTGGCACCCCATTTTAATAATGAGGTGAGGAACAAGGGTGGGAGGAGATTCTCCTGACCTTGTCCTGAGCTCTCCATTTCCTCTCCTGCACACAAAAGGGTCTGACCCCTCCCCTCCTGCCCTTCTCAGAGCAGCCCCAGGCCCAGCCTACATTCTCATGCTGCATGTGTTTCAGCAGGAGCAGCTCCCGGTAGGCCCGCTTGGCAAAGATCTCGGACTGGAAGGGCCGGCTCAGCTTCTTGATGGCCACCTTCTCCCCTGACCGCTTGTCGATGGCTGAGCTGTAGGGCACAGGTAAGTCATCAGGCAGCAGCTTGCCTCCCCCGAGGGGGATCTGCGTGGTATCTCCCAGGCCATCCCCCAGTCCCTCTTGGCCAGCAGGCCAGGCTGGGAAGAACTGTTGCCCACCACCTGGAAATAAGGGAGCAGCGGGAAGCAGGTGCAGGTGGGGGTGGAGAGAAACAGAGGGTGAGACACAAGTTAATACCAACAGGATCCAGAGCCTGGAGGGAGTCTCACTGTATACAACTTCTCCCTCTTTGGGGCTCAGCGCACCCACTTTTAACAGTGGGGATTCACGAGGATGAACTCTGGAGTCCCTCCTAAGGTTCAGGTCCCGGAGAACGAGACCCAGTCCTAACTCAACGCACAGAGACCCCACAAAGTCGATGAGGAAATGAGATGGCACCTGGAGGGGCCCCAGGCCAGCGTTTGCCACAGCCAGCTGCCCAGCCTAACGCCTTGTCGCAGCTCCACAGACTCAGCAGAGGAAAGTCCCCGCTTACGTCTTCCAAGCCCGCAAGACTCTGGGTCCAAGACTCGGGCGCGCGGCCTTGAACACCCAGCAGGAGAGGGGACACCCAAAGGGGGTCCGGGAAGGGTGCCTTGGTCTGGTCCCGACTTGTCGGGAGGCTCCACCTGCGTCCAGGTGCCCGGGCGCCCGCCCCAGTCCGCCCCGCGCCCCTCAGCCGGCGCGCAGGCCCGGGGGTCTCACCACACGGAGCCGTAGGCCCCGCTGCCCAAGTGCGTCGGGGACACGTAGGTCTTGGGCAGCTCCCAGGCGGTCCTGTTGACGTCCTGCTTGTAGAAGCCTTTTTTCCGGGTGAGGTTCATCCCGGGCGCCCAGTGTCGGCGGCCCGAGCGCAGTGGCTGCGTGCGCTGCCCGCGGGCTCCCACACCCTGGCCCTGCCTGCCCGCCCTACGGGTCCGCCCCGCCGGGTCCGCCCCTCCCCCGCGCGGGGGCGGGGCCTGGGCCTGCCGCGCGTCCACCTGCCGGCTGCCCCGGTGCGCCGCGCGACCACGCCCCGGCCTGCGGGCGATCCCTGCGCCCCCGAGCCCCGTGTTTCCGCCAGTCCTGGCGTGTGGGGCCCCGACGGGGTGCGGACCTGCAGAAGCCGGTGCCTCCTGGCAGAGCGCTGGGGTGGACCTGGGGCTGTGAGGTACCCGAGGCGCCCCGCGTGGAGGGGTGGGAAGGCAGGGCCTCCTAGCTGCCCCCAGCCCGGAACTCAGTAGGAAGATCTCCCTGGATATGTTGAAGACAACTTTGAAAAAAAAAAACAAAACCTCACAACCTTTTGATTATGGAAAGTTTCAAACGTTCAGAGCTGAATAGCCCAATATTCTCACATTTGAAGTGCGCCCGAATCCCTTGGGAAGTTTATTAAAACATAGATTGTGATTCAGTAGGTCTGGGGTGTAGCCAAGATCCGGCATTTCCAACCAGCTCCTAGGCTCAGAGGATTCCCAGTCAGCATTTTGTTAGTGAGGTTCTAGTGAACCTGCATGACTCCAATCCCTCAGCTTCCACAATTAAATCAGCTCTTAGTCAATTTTGTTTCATCTACATCACTCCTTCCCCATTATTTTGAAGCAAAACCAGGCATCATAGAATTTCACTCATATTTTTTGTATCTCTAAAAGATAAGGATTATTTAAGAAACATAACCACAATTTCATTTTTACACCTAAAATTACAACAGTAATTCTATAATATCAGCTATCCAGTCCACGTTCAAATTTTCAGTTTTGAACAGTTTTTTGCTGGTTTCCTAATGCCCATTGGGGCAATGACAAGCCAGGGCCTTCTGCCACCTGTGTCTGGTGGCTTTCACAGACTGAAGAAGATTTTATGCTCACATTATATCACAGAGGCCTCCCAGGAACAGGGCTGGGGACAGAGAATGGCTCAATGCCTGGCTGACTAGTGCCCTTGCTGACCTGCACACTGGGATGTGGAAGGGGTGGGGAATTCTTCCTTCCTTTTGTTAAAAGGAAAGAGGGTGTCTTAAAGAAGAAAAGGAGCTTA